TTTTTTGAAAATTTATTTTTTATCAAAAATTGTTAAAATTTGTTTAATTAAAATGTAAATTAGTATACATGTTATTGGAAGATGTATGGGATTTAATACGCAGCGCGCGCAAAGCGTGCGCTTGTTATGTACTAGTTTAAGTAAAATTTGATTCTCTCTTTATTATATTTTTGCATACCACCTGTTGATTTTTATTAATACATTGCATTCGTTACCATCATACATCTAAAATATTTATGTTTTCATTTAATAACATTATTCATCAGTAAAATATCATTTTTGTATGTATATGTGGTGTGTTTATCTTTTCATATTTACACTTAAATTATTGTATATTGTATAAATCTTTGTTTAAATTATTTTACCGCAATTACAATTTATTTAAACGGTAAAATGTAAATTTTATATAAATAAAGAATTTTTTAATTAAATTTTTAAATTTAAAAGCCTTAAAACTGAATCATATAATAAACTCTATTTAGTTTGATATAATTTTATATTGTTTACGCGCATACATAAATTAAAACAAAACAAAATAATTTAATTTTATTTTTGTTACTTCTCTCTCTCTCTCTCTCTCTCTCTCTCTCTCTCTTTCTGCTCTTTCATTCTCAATAATTTTTCACACAAAACCAATTATAATGTACTATTAATTACAATTCTTTCATATTCTAACAATTTAGATACATAGGCTCACTAGAATTTATCAAACATATATTAGGCCGTATGTAAGCCAACACGGATGACGGTGTGTAATAATTTCTTTTTACAATATCCACGTGACTGACTGCGCGCCGCAATTCGTCGGTCTTGAAACGCTTACATGAGGCCAAAATAACTTGTAATAAATTAAATCGATTAACGATTTAATCTTTTTGATATACTTTTTGATATATGACATCTATATCTCCTTCTCCTCCGAATCTGTAGAATTATTTATTGCGAGAAAAATCACCTCAGCTCTCTTTCATATTCTATTCTATATGAAAAGCGAGGTATCATACTGAAGAACGCAAATTATTCGAAGTAGATTATACAGTTTTTTCATTGCGGGAAATTTCTTTATAATAATGAACTAAAATAATTAACATTTAACAATTGAGAAAAATATCACCATTAAGTTAAAGCAAAGTTGAAATAAAACTTACCGTCGCGTTAATAAAATATTCGTACTCATTTCGATTAAAACTCCGTTTGTCTTTATAAATTAATAATTAATAATATGTTGTCTATTAATGCAATGATTCTTTTTTCTTTGTTAACTCGATGTAATTCTTTCTCCGCGTGCTTGATTTCAACATTATTAACAGTATTGGTTCATTAAAGAATAAAAATGGCATCTTTGAACGGTAGCTTTTCTCCCGCGATCTTCTTCATGGCCGAGCGACGCTACTGCTGGAATAATTGACCTAAATATACCGCAAAAATAGCGGATCATAAATTACATGGACTCGACGAGAGTGCACTTGACACAGCACTGTCGTCAAACAACTACTATACCGGAGAAAGAGACAGAAAGATGCAAAAAGGGAAAAGAAAGAGAAACAGTGACAGAGAAAGGTGTAGGGAAGGGAAAAAGAAACAAGGAAAGAGAAGAGGACATTCTATTGAAGGTTGCCAGCTCTCTTCCGACGTGTCCTCATTTTAAGTAGAAACAAATGGAAACCTGCCGTACCAGCTGATATGCGAATCTCGAAGGAATACAGCAATCGAAGAGTCTATATGCCGAAGGCACTCTCTTATAAATCATCTATTACATCCAAGTTTATTTATGAGTCGTGCGATGTCTACGGTTTATATCACTATTGCAAGCAAACTGAATAGATTATTTAGAGAAAAGATAGAAAGAATTGAAAATATTTCAAGATATATACAGGTTTTTATTGTAAATCATTTATAGCATAAATCTTTAAATATTATACTTATTACATTTCAATACTTATTCTCTCTTTTATTTTATACATATAATACTGATTTAAATGTATTGTTATTTTACACACACACGCGCGCGCGCGCCACACACACACACACAC